GGAAAGAAAAATATTATGCAGTCAAACTATTAAAGCAATCACTAACCTGAAGGCTGATCTTTCACAACACCATTCTTGCTTCTTTCTTCCCAATCCATTACTTCTTTGTAAATTAGCTCTTCAAATAGAAATGCAAATTAAAATGCTTCATCAGTTTCTTTGCATCTCAAAATCCTGCTTCCAAATCAATTGGAACCACTCCAAGGGCACTGTGATGTGCTATTTTTAATTGTGATAGACAATTAAGTAACATAGTTTACCTAGACCAAAATATAATTTGATCCATTATATCTCTTCAACCCAGCTATTAAGACAGCCAGGGACTTCCCTGGTGGCGCAATGGTTAACAATCTGCCTGCCAATGCAGGGGACATGGGTTCGATCCTTGGTCCTGGATCCCACATGCTGCAGAGCAGCTAAGCCCATGTGCCACAACTACTGAGCCTGTGCTCTAGAGCCTGCAAGCCACAACTACTTAGCCCGCGTGCCACAACTACGGAAGCTTGGATGTCTAGAGCCCGTGCTCCACAAGAGAAGCCACCGCCTGTGCGCTGCAACAAAGAATAGCCCCCACTTGCCACAACCAGAGAAAGCCTGCGCGCAATCAAGACCCAACACAGCCAAAAAAAAAAAAAAAAACAGCCAAAAATGTATGGTAGCTCTGGATCCATGATGGGGGTTTTACAAAGTGGGGGTGAGGGAGAGAGAATGAGAGAGACACACAGGGAGAGAGGTGGGGAGAGAGGGAGGGAAAGTACTAGCAAAGTGGCTCTAACAGAACAGTTTAAGTACTGGATATTCTCACATCTTTTTGCACATGTTTTCCTCCATCTTTACTGTGGTTCTCCAAATATAACCCCTCCAGATTGGTCAGAAATTAATCTAATTACCTAAGTTTTTTCTTGGCTTCAATCTCAGTTTTCCTCAATTTTCATTTGTAAGAAAAACGAATTAACTAAGCAGCTTCCTAAAATTTTGCTATTCATGAAATAAAATTAGCATATTGCAAGCACTTAGTGAGGCCTATGGGTGTGTGCACATGCAGGTTGTTGGTATCCCTATATCCCGGGGAGGGGCTCTTGGGAAGGACACATCACCATGTTTGACTTGCGCTGACCACAGTTCTCAATTACTACTGATTCTGCTTTTTAATGAAAAATTTTTAGTTCAGCCTCCTTTTTACTGGTTTAGTTTGCTGTGGGTTGTTTGGTTAATCTTAGAGTGGTAATAATAACTATCTGCATATTTTTGATCTGCAATTTTCCCCAAACTCTTATTTTAAGACACATATATAACTACATGGCTTACAAATACAGCAGAAGTTCACATGACCCCAGTGGGGTCTCCCACGTCTGCTTTACAGAGACCTGTGAATTGGGGTTACTCAACAATTTGCAACATGTTGTCAAGGTAAGTGTGACACAATCACTGAGTTTAGTTTACAAACCAAGATTTGATAATGTAAGATTGTGTGAAAAAGCCTTTATTTTTCTCTTTTGAAGCAAATAATATGCAATTCATACGTGTTCCTCTCTAATTCTGTTATCTTCAAGTTCTTTTTCTACTGGGAAGTAGGAAGAGAGAGAAAAAATGGGCTGCAGGGTTTCTTGCCCCTCTCTTAGAAAGGCTATTGTCAAAAAGTGATGTTGCCCCATTGCAAGAAATGTCATAAGTAACAATCAAAATAAGTTCCGTCTTTACCTTTCCATTCTTCAATTGCATGTTCTCTTTCTTCCAACTGGGCATCATAAATTTGAGGTGGTGGCTAAAAATTAAATTACAGGTGAAGTCAATAGTTAAAAAAATAATGAGGCATGAAGAGAAAGAATCACTTTGTAAGACTTCTAAAATATTTATAATATGGATGTAGTTTCATTAAATACTTGGCCTATTAAAGATTTCTTTTATAAGTATGATTTCCATCAGTTTCAGAATCAAAATAATTGAGGAAAAGTTAACCCCCAAAATAGAGCTATTATAGTCCTCTTAATAATCACACTCTAAAGATATCTGCCCAAATGTAATTATAAAATTAGTAATCACAGGCTGCTTCCTAGAGATCCACCCTGGACAAGGTGCTGTGCTATGAAATACAGAAGGTGCAAAACACATTTCAGGTTTATATTTCTTCCTGTTAGAACTCCCAAACTCAACCCCCAATTCATAAATGGACTGCTTCAAAAATTTGCTTAAAATCACGTGTTTATAAATCAAATTCTTTTCATATAAAACAATGTTTAAAATGGTGGTTAAATGCATAGGCCAAGACATAATAATGAGCATGCCACTATGTGGTTATTTCACTTCCAACTAAAGACCATCCATACCAATGCTGCTACAGAAAGATGCACATGAGCACCAAACTCAGAAGTGGAACCCCCCTAGCAGGTACCTCTGGGGAAGGTTGAACAAACTTGTGATTTTCAGGAAGTTTCTTAGCCTGACTGGATGCCTAAACAAGATGATGTAAAGCAAAGCCCAAGGCACAGTGCCAGGTACACAAATGGATGCCTAAAAAAGGTGATATTATGATCACACATCAGCATCTGCATAAATGAAGATAATTATATCACCACAGCATAAGCATGTTCACTCCTGAGGTACTCTGAGTAGAGCCCCAGTGACAAGAGTCCCAAAAGGGGTTGTGACCCATGTTACATGGCCTCGTTGTAATCAGGAGTCCTTTTAAATCTAGGACTTTATGTAGCCATTCCAGACTAACAGACAGAAGGTCCAAGGAAATGTATGCCCTGCCTTTACACATAAGTCTTTTCAAAATAGATGCTTACCGCTTCTGCTTCAGCAGGGTCATACCAAACAGTGATATAAGGGTGACGCAAAGCTTCATCTACAGAGATTCGCTTGTCGGGATCTATCACTAACATTTTTGATAGTAAGTCTCTGGCTTGACTTGCTAGGGTAAAAACAAATATTAGATTAATAAAGGAAAAGGAATACCGTTAACCTGAAAATCACACAATAAAGAACTAAATGTGATAGCAGAGACAGAACAAAAATATGTTAACTTTGAGGAATTGTTGATAGCTTCAAGATTATTAGAGTCTTTTTCTTTAACAGTAAGTCAAGCAGCCACTTCCACTGCAAACCAGGCTTTCAAATGTGCTTTCAGCTTCTGAATTTGGAAGGGAGAAGGACAGGGCACAAGGCTGAGAAGCCACGTCCAGGGAGGGTGCAGGAGCTAAGCTAAGGGTGGCACTGCCAAGAATGCAGGCATGAAGCATAGGCAAGTGTTTTTTCTTGATGCCACATTGGAGTGAAATTAGAACAGACTAAGCCACACAATGATTTCATATCTGCACAGTATAGAACACTTCACAGATACCTCTGCTTTGCCTACCTGTATACAATGTTGGCAACATACACTTTTTTTTAAATCTAGAGATTAGTAGTTAGAAAAAATCCAACAACTTCGATAACTTGGTTAAATACAAGGCTCACCTAGGTTTTAGCAATTAAAATTCATATGTATAGTACAGGCAAAGAAGAGATGGGGCTTTTCTGAATGAGGCACAGTTTATCTTGATGTAGAGTGAAACAAATCTATTCTTTCCCTTAAAACACTTAGTGACAGGCACAGGAGAAGGGGAGAAGGAGCCTTTTAAAATTTCTGACTGTTCAACTGGGCTAGAATCTTTATTCAAGTGTTCCTTATACCTGAAAACTGTTTGAATTCCATTTGCTGTAATTAACATAAGAGTCTTTCAGACTTGTAAATATTTTGACCACAGGCTTCAGTTACGTCACTTTATTGAGGACAAAACTTCTAGGTCTTTACGCTTTCTTTCTGAAATGCCTTCATTCTACCTGTAAATGACTTTGAGGGTTTCAACTATTTTGTCTCTCAATGTTCACAGGTTTTAGAATGCAAACATAAAGTGAAAGCTTCACCCAGTATAAGAAAAAATGATATCTTACTTTTAATTTTGTCTCGTTCAGATTCTGATGGGAATATCCAATCTGGAAAGAGTTCTTCAAATTTGATTCCAGGATACTTTGGTCTGTTTTCTACATAATTCCTCACAGTTGGCTGAAGTTTCTTCATGAAATCTGAAGATGGTGTTCCTAGCTGCTCAATAACTTTATTCCACTGATCAATATCTAAGGAGTCTCTTGAGGAAAATACAACTGAAATGCCTTATATTCATATTACATAAAGTAGCATCATTCAAAGAAAAACTTAAATTATATTTATACTTATCAACAAGTAATTAACCAGGCCACCTCACTGGGTCAGCAGAAGCATTCTGAAATAATATTCGAAAAAGGTTTGGGCTCCAAGTTAAGACTATTTAAAAAAAACTCTGCATCTTTATAAACTCTGATCACAGTTTATTAAATCAACACGATGAAGTCTATATGCTTTGCCATTCTAGATCAAAATTAAGTTATCTTGTAACTGAAGAATACCTATGACTGAAAGGCTTAAACATGAAATTAGGTAGTAATTATATAGGCAAATTGAAATCAGTTCTCATAATAAAACTATGTTAGATCTAAAGCTCCCTAAAGTAGAGAGACCTATCTGACTGCTCAATTTACAGCTGGGAACCACCCCTGTGAGGCAGGCCTGGCGGGATGGGGTGCATGAGGGGGTGGGCAGGAGCCAAGGCTCTGGACTTTCTGAGCTCTCACCATGTCCCTTCCCACTGTAGCTGTGCTTACATTGAGCAGTGACAGCTTTGAGAGGTCATTCTGTTTTACTTGGCACTGACCCGGACCATCACTGCAATACAAAGGAGTGTGTTTCATTTCCTTTCAAAGTACATAACCTGGGTTTCAGACTCCATTGTGTATTAGACACTCACTAGGTGTCAGGCAGTCAATCTCCCTTGGGTCTCACCTTCCTATTTGTAAAATGCAGACAATACCAGCTTTGCCTCTTTCACTTGGGGCTTGAGATAACTGGCAAGATGAATGTGGAAAGGGAGTCTATCGATAAAACCATAAAAATTATACAAGAGAACGCAAGCCAGAGGAATCAAATAAACAGCATCTTTAAAAAGTGACTAATTGAGGTATGTCTTAGAAAAATAAAATGACATCACTGTGAAAGAACCTAGGGAACAGACACATGTTCTTTAAAGAACAAAGGAGGAGGCCCTCTCGCTTCCTGTAATGTCTTTCTTCTTGCTGGTACACCATCCACTGGAGAATTCCATCACCAATCAAACAATTTTTTTTCTCCCATCTTAAAGCAACAGCCACTCTCCTTTGGCTGAACATTGTAGCTTAGCTACCATTCCCATTTGCAGCAAAACAGACTTGTCTATACTTGTATCTCTAACTCCCAGCCTCTCATATTCTCTCTTAAACATCCTCTCATCAGGCTTTTCCCCCATCACTTCATGAAAACGGCGCCCATCAAAGTTGCAGGTGACCATCCCTCAATTCTCAGTCCTCACCTTTTTACCAGTGTCAGTGAGCCTCCCTCAGTAACATGCTTCCTGGCCTCCAGGGTCCCCTGCTCTCTGGGAGGTGCCTGCCTAAAGATTTCTCTTTCTCTTAGGCCATGTGGGGACAGGAGTTCCTTTTCTACCTCAGGTTACGAATCTAAAACAAATCTCTGAGAACTGCAATCTGGTTTCTGGAATCTTTTTCTATCTAATGTTGGAAAAAGTTAGCAAAATTGTCTTTGGAAAATGATGTAATCTCTGTGTGTGTTCTGAGAATGACAGTAGGTGACGTTATACGTAAAATTATTATCACTGACATTGCAAGATGTTAATATGTCAATTAAGAATTTTAAATTACTTAATAGTGCACCAAAGAGTTTCTACATTTTTCATTTCTGTACTTTCTGAAGAAAACCTTTAATTAATTAAAGAAAGGAAAGTCACAACATGAATTAAAAATTGAGACAAACTGAATGTTAAGTAGATACTTCTAATTATGTATCTTTAGGGCATTCCCTGGCAGTCTGGTGGTTAGGACTCTGCGCTTTCACTGCTGTGGGTCCAGGTTCAATCCCTGGTGGGGGAACTAAGATCCCACAAGCCTTGTGGCATGGCCATCAATCAATCAATCAATCAACCAATCTTTAGAATACATCAACTTTTCCCTTTTAAAATGAATTTATTTGCAAATTAAAGATCTCCTTTTTTACATATTGAAACAACTGAATCTAAGGTTAGGCTATGGAAAATTGCTAGAAAATTTATTAGAACAAAATAAAATGCTGTATTTAACTTCACATAAAGTCTATGATGTGAAAAATGTCAAGGAAGGTAAATAAAATGGTAGGAAAAAAATCTTTTCATTCCAGGTTTGTGTTGTGAAGAATTTATATTACAAATAAACCACCCTCATAAAATTATAAAAAACTAAAATTACTTTAATAAAATACATATAGAACATGACTACACAACTTAATTTCTTTTAAAGATAACCATCAATCTGCCAGCAGAGACCACTTTCATAACAAAAACAAAATCAAAAGACTAATGAAAATTTTAGGTGGTTAGAACACAAATGAAAAAGGGTATACGTGAAGAACCATGTTAGAGCAAAAAATATTGAAGATGGAAGAATATGAGGAATATGAGAAAAGAAAGCTATTGAAACTATCATACATCTATTCTCCTTTATACTATGTCATTAATATGATTTGCTGACCACAGTATAAGTTAACCTTTTGCATTTTATATTTATTTAAATGTCTGTTAAACTTCCCCAGTGTGTCACAAAATAACCTAAGTGGATCTTCTAAAATTTTCTACAAAATGTCAGTAGAGTAACAAAACAAAAAAATGTAGCAAATATTGTTTCTCACAAACTTTTTACTTTAATCTTTTTCATTTAGGTCTTTATGTAGTGTGCTTCAGTTCTTTGGAGGAAAATATTTTAATTCATCCTGGTAACTAATGAAATAGTATATTAAACAAATTACAAATTATTGGCCTATTAAATTTAGACAACTTTCTAGATAGCTAAATTAACTGAATTAACTAAACAGAATTTTCAGTTAAATATCAGAATACATTTGTCAAAGAGTAAATACATTTCTTATGAGCTATTTTTAATAAAATTAAGAACTAATATAAATTGGTTTAACTTAATTCTATGCCTCAATAAAATTGTTACAGGTAGTCAAGCAAAAAAGAAACGTAAAATTGAACCATTTGGTGTGTGACACTAATTTAACAAACATAATCAAGACCCCCTTAGAATACAGTCTAGAATTACGACATTTTCCTTTTGACCTCCTGCTGCCCTTGGTATTTATGTAAAACATGGCCGGGAAGGTCCCCCGGGAAGGATACGATCAGTGCCTTGGAATATCACACAACCTTTCACCAGCTCTCCCATGATGCAACCCACTGACCAGATATCAACTGAAAATAAAGTGAAATGACAAAATTATGAAGTGCCATGAACAAAACAAAGGTGCGGAAAAGGATTCTAACAGTGTACTAAACACACAAACAAGGAAAATAAATTGCTAGTAACGGGTGAACATTTTTATACAGTATGAAATATTGCTGACCTCTATTTTGGCCTTCGGTTTGCAGCAATCTGGGCTTTTAGTGCCAAAGAGTCCAATACTTTACAGCTTCAGAAACAAAGTCCCAGACACAAGAAATGCCTGTCCCCACAAAGCTGTTTCCAGGCACATGCCCACCCCTGCCCCCAGCCTTCGTGGTTAGTGCTGGGTCTCTCCCTGTGAAGGATACAGTCTCTTCCTGGGAACAGGACTTTATGGAGGACCATTTCTGCCATGATGCACCCGACAGACCAGATGTCCACTACCAAACACCAGGTGATTAAAACCAGCCAGAGACCCCCCAACACATGTCCTTTCTCAAACCCCCTCCCAAACAAAGACAAACCCAGCTTGTCAGCAGGACTTTTGTAAAATATGAACACCACACCTCCAGAATGATCCTTTTTTAAACTGTCAAGTCAGCAGGGCCTCACAGGGACAGGCTTGTCTGGGCTCCAGGTGAGGGCCAGAGGTGCCCCAGCTTCTGGCTGTTCACCATCTTCTGTGGGGGCCCAGCTGAATTACAGGCCTCAGATGACCAGGCAGAGGGCTATTTATTGCCCCTGCTGCTGAGGGTGGGGTGAGAGAAGCTAACAGGGGACCTAATTTTCTCTCATGTCCACAGAGGACTAGAAGCCCACAGAGCTGTGTCTCTCAGAATGGGAGCACAGGTTATAAAACATCTGAATAAACTTGAAGCACAACTCATTTCAGATGACTTAGGCAAACTTTCAGATTCTTTTTTTTAACACGTGAATGTGGTTTAGTTCTTTTTGACAAATTTTTCAAAAACTAAGCTTCAAAGAGCTCTGATATTGCTTGAATAAGTTTTGCTGTGAAAAAAAATACCAATTTTACACACAAAAAGTACATGTTGTATTATTCCATTTATATCAAGTTCAAAAATAAGCAAAATCAATCTATGTTGCTGGAAATCAGGATAATGGCTTCCTTTGGGGATTGAGACCCAGAGTGGGGCTGGGGAGGCCTTGGGTGCTGCTCGTTATGTGGGTGTGCTCCGATTGAGCTGCACACTCGGGACTTGCATACGTTTCTGTAAGTATGTTATACTTTGATAAATGTTCAAAAATATTAACTTTAAAAGTGAATTTTTAAAGTGGATCATTTTAGCCAATGGAAATATAAAATTAATTATTTCTCATCTGTGAACTATGATAATCTATGTATAACACAGTCTCCACATTATACTTCATACAGTTCACAGGAAAGAGAAAAAAACTAGTGATGACAAACAGCACTATTTTTACACATCTCGGCCTCTTCCAGTTCTGTCTGTACTCACCGTTCTCTTTGTAGCCCATGCCCAGGATGACTTCAGGTGCCCGATAATACCGCGTTACCACGTAGGGGGTCATCATAAAGTTGGTGCATGCTGTGCGAGCCAGGCCAAAGTCAAGGATCTTAAGGGTACAGTCTGACTTTACTACAATGTTGCTAGGTTTCAAATCCTAGGGTAGAAATGATTTAAATTAATAAAAGGAACCAAAGCATGCTAAGAAAACAATCTCACATTGGTAAGGATTTGTGAGGTATGTGAGAGTGCTGGGAGAAGGAGGAAAGTTAGAATTGAACCCTGGGATTTTGGAACCATTTTGCAAAATCCTACTCTCATATTGAAACTAATACAAATCAGCCTAGAGAGGCCATATGGTTGCCCTTACCCCTGTGTGGAAACCTTCATGACATTCCTTTGCTTAAAACCTTCTGAGAGCTTCCACAACACCCTCTCCTCCCTCGCTCCACGCCTGGTCATCCTTCAGTTCCCAACACTCTGGCTCTTCCCTGCTGTCCAATACAAACTCAACCCACATGTGTAATTTACATTTTCTAACAGCCACCTTAAAAAAAGTGAGTAGAAAAGGTAAAATTAATTTTAATAATATTTTCCTTTACTCCAATACAGTCTATTTCCAGAATATTCATTTTAAAATGTAACCAACATATAAAAATTATTAATGAGATATTTTACATTCTTTTTGTTCAGTACTGTCTTTGAAATCCAGTGTTTATTTACAATTATAGCCACATTCTGAGTACTTAATAGCCTCAGGTGGCTAGTGGCTATAATACTGGACAGCACATGGCTAGAATTCTCTGACCCTGGAATCTTCCAAAGGCTTCTTCTTTCCTTGGAAGAAGAATCCCATGATTACCAACCCCAACTTCCCACCCTTCCCTGGGACCTACCACTCCCCAACCACACATTCTACCCTCAAAGTCCCTCCTCTGCCCCTCCCAGCACGGGCTCTGTAAGAGGAGGCCTCAAGGGTCTCTCTGTGCTTTCAGCTCTCAGCCTGGAGTCTGGCACAGCAAACTCTCAGAAAATGTTTGCTGAGTGGATGTACACATCATACTCCACCACACTCTCAATACAACCTATCTCTTCTGCAGTTTTTTCCTTCATAACTCTAGGGACTTTCTCCATGGTGATCCCCCACATCCCAGACCCTTCCTCAGGCCACAGGAATTTGACTCCTGCCTTGGAGTCCAGCCTGCAAACTCACCCTAGAAACTATGACTTCTAAACAATCCACATCTATTCTTTCACAAGTGCTTTCCAATGTGTAGCTGCAACGTCAAACTGCCAAGTCACACTATACAGTAAGACCGTCACTTTTAGTGACGTTTCAGGCCCAGCACCTGGCTGAAACTTTCCAATTGATGTGTCACCAACGGGCATAGGTGTGCCTTGAGTGATGGCTGCCAGGTGTTATTGGGATAAGCAGAAAAACACTTAAAAATTACATCAGCTAAAATTATGTTTCATTATTGCTAAGAGCTCTCTTTCTAAACATCCGGAATTCAGTAAAATATAACTTATAAATATATATTGCTTAAAAACATAATTAAAATTCCCACCAAGCCCATGAAGATGTACTGGTCCCTGGCTGGCCCCAGAGCACTTCTGCTGTGCATGTCCCGATGTGGAGATGTGCTGTGGGGAGCACTGCCAACTCACCCACAGCTGCTATTCTGTACAAAGGAAAGCAAGTGAAGAATCAGCCCCACGCTCAAACCAGTGACCCCTTCCTGTGAGAAGGCAGTAATACAGCTAAGGCAAAACAAACCAATCTGTTTCTAGGTTCCTTTTTTTTTTTTTTTTTTCCTTGCGTTATCTCTCACTGTTGTGGCCCCTCCCATTTGCGGAGCACAGGCTCCGGACGCGCAGGCTCAGCGGCCATGGCTCACGGGCCCAGCCGCTCCGCGGCACGTGGGACCCTCCCGAAACGGGGCACGAACCCGCGTCTCCTGCATCGGCAGGCGGACTCTCAAGCACTGCGCCACCAGGGAAGCCCTCTAGGTTCCTTTTTTAAAACCAAAGAGTATGGCAAGAACAGCCATTTCATAATACAAATTACTAACACATAAAATAATGCTCAACTTCATGAAAATTAAAAACCCAAATGACAAGGAACAATTTTTAGTCTCTCTTCTGGCAATGAGGAAAAGAATGGCAATATCCAGTGCTGGAGGAAGAAGCAGAAACAGACCCTTCCTTATACTGTTGGTGGGGACGTCAATAGGTGCTTTCTTTTTAGGAGACTGATTTTTTAAAAAAATTTGAGATGTCTATACTTTACCACCAGCAGCCCCTGAAATCCAACCTGGCTCTGAACTAACACAGCGCCACATGAACAAGGATGATTAGAGTAATGCCGCCAGCCAGTCTGATGAACTGCTCTGTGATTAGTAAATATGCCCATTCCAGCCACCTCCACCTATCAGAAGATTGTCCTCTTGCACTGATTTTGTTGGAACAATGCACTTTACTGCCATCTGCTGGCAAACAGTGATAATAAAATGCAAACCAAGCGGTCAAAGGTGTGGATTGTTGTCCTGGCAGGACTGGGAGAGGCAGCCCTGCCTCCCAACGCTTGCCGATGGGAAGGTGCTTAAAGAGGTCTCAGGGCACCTGAGGGCTCCCCACATGCACAGCCGCTCTCCCACCAGTCTCCACACACAACCAGAAGAAGCTTTCCACAAACGAACTGGACTTGTAGTTTGAAGATGGCAGAGTGAAGACAGTTCTGCCCCTTCAAATCTTGAAAACCATTCCGAACAAGGAAAACAAGAAACACACATTAAAATAAAAATGACACATAAATTTGGGGGCTTGACCCAGAGTGCGGGGATGGCATCGCTGGGGCAGCCAATAAGGGTGCACAAAATATCTGCAACCAAAAAAGGGCAAGAGCAGAGGAGTGGAAGGTTGAGGCCATTGCTATTCCTGGTCAGTTCTCGGTCTAGAACCCACTGACTGAAGAGGTGTCCTAAGAGGGAGAACCCTTGTTACATTGTAACAAGCGTCCACTGCCTTGATTTCCCCACAGGTACCTATGACCCCTTACTCAGGTGACTGTACCTGGGAACAGCAGACATTTGGAGAAGTATTAGACACAAGTTCTAAGTGGATACTGAAAGTCAAAGACTCAAAGCAACATCATGCCTCCTCTAGCTGGTGGTGGGGGTGAGTTGTGGAGGCCAGGTAATAAATGGAGACTGGTCCAGATCTCTTCCAGCTATATTATGACACAGGCCTAGGGCAAAACTGTGAAAGAATATTGCTGTTCACCTCACATGAGTGTGAATGGTTTCTGATCGCCTTTTCCAATCAGTATGGAAGAATGCATCTGCCGAGTCAGAGGCTACATGCCACACCTGAGGCCTTATTAATCTGCTCTAGCAATGACACCGTGTCCAGCACAAGCAGCTGCAATCAGGACTACTGATCAGCTAAGGCTCGATGGTCTACATTCTCTAGCATCCATCTAGTTTCTTCAAGGGCTGGACTAGTGAGTTAAAGTGAGCTATGAGGGCCCACCATCCTCGCATTCTTTGGGTTTTAATGGCAGCATTAATCTCCTCCATTCTCCCCCACCCCCCAGAGTTCAATAATGTTTTTGATGTACTATCTTGAGGCGGGCAGTTTCAGGTTCCCACTTGGCCTTCACCATCATAACTCTTACCTCAGACCAGAGAACCAATGTAGGGGTCACTCTGCTAAGAATACCAACTGCCAACCGTATCAGTTCCAATCACACACTCGAGGACTGGGGAGATGACTGTTGGGTGGGTCCATGGACCCTGTGGCCCATTGTGAGCCACCAGACTTAGACCCCTCAGGAATGAAGGTCTGGGTCACACTCAGGTAAGGCACAGAGACCTGCCAAGGTGATGACTAAGGGTATGAATAATGGAGAATGGAGAGAATGAGTACCTGTTGTGGCTCCAAGGTCAACTGTAGTGAAAGGGGCTATAGTTGGTCCCTTCCCCTCAGGAAGGGAGGCCCACGGGGAGCCTGAGGGGACTGCTCCTGACCTGTGTGGAGAAGCAGAGCTGAGGGGGGCAAGGGTGGATGGTGGTAGCCATGAAAATGCGTACCTGGCTCTCTGCTGTGGGAGTGCAACTGACAGACACCCCACCGAGGTACCCTGACCCTCCCCTCTGCTTATGACAAGGCCACACACCCCACAGTGGCTCTTGGCTAATGACTGCATGGGGAAGGAGGTCCATTCTTATGAGACACCAGATTCCTCTAACGGGCAGCTCCCAACCCTCCTTCGTGCCCTCTCTACTCCAAGGGGTCAGACTGGGCTGACCCCTGTCAGCTTCCCCACCTCCTCTGACTCACTCCCTCTGTTCTTCCTCACAGGCCTTCTCCCCATGCATCTCTTGCATGTCTAATGTCATCGTGCTAAACTAATGCCTTCAATGAAAAACCCCACGTGCTCTATGGGGAGGGAAGGCAGCAGAAAGGAATAAATGACTTGGCTGAGTAAATTCCAACCTCAGTGAGTGGCCCACAGTGAAATAATGTGGACCACAACACCTGGGAAGGGCTTAGGAGTTGAACGACAAGTACTGTGGAAGGCAGGATGGGGCAGGGAGCAGGACACTGAGGGATCTGGGGTGGGGGAAGGTTCACAGAAAGGTAAAGGTAGACCTCCCAGATCCACACAGAGGTGTTGGTTCCTCCTTTACTCCTACTGGCCTATTATCTAGAAAAACTGAAACCAAGTTTCCAGACTCAGGCCTCAAGCACAATACCAAGAGATCTGCTGGTATGAGGCACAGGAAGGGCATGGGTGAGGGGCCCAGCCTGAAGACAGGGTGCTGTAGTGAAGGTCTGCATTTTGCCACATGAGAACCTCAGCCCCACCCCACACAGCCTTTCATACCAGCAGCCAGACTGCTCTCCCTCAGTCAAGAGACCAGAGCCTTTTCTAGAGAAACTAAATGATGTCCAGAGAAAAGACCTGCAAACAGAGACACCTGTGGCTATGTGTTGCTCTAGAGAAAAACCCCTCATTCAACAACCCCAACCCATGCACTTCCACTTGGCCTTCTAGTCCTTCAGTCTTAAATAGGACCAGTGACAAAAGGTCACCAGACATTTGAGGAAAAGCTTACATGTGACAGCGAGAGACCAAATGCACTAAAACAAACAAACAAAACAAAACAAAACCTCAGGGGAAAGAAAAACACTGCAGGCAGCAATAAGAAAACTTCAAAGGGACTTCCCTGGCAGACCAGTGGTTAAGACTCCCAATGCAGGGTGCATGGGTTCGATCCCTGGTCGGGGAACTAACATTCTGCATGCCACACAGCGTGCCTAAAAACAAACAAGAAAAACCCAGAAAACAAACTTCAAAGAAATTCTAGCCTTGTAGAGATGATAGTGTCTCCATGCAAGAAGAACAAAATGCTATTTACAATAGCCAAGACATGGAAGCAACTCAAGCGCCTATCAACAGATGACTGAATAAGAACATGTGGTATGTGTGTGTGTATATGGAATGAAATACTGCCATTTGCAGCAACATGAATGGACCTAGAGAATATTATGCTTAGTGAAATAAGTCAGAGAAAGACAAATACTATATGATATCACTTGGAATCTAAAAACTGATACAAATTAATATATATACAAAACAGAAACAGACTCACAGATATAGAAAACAAATTTGTGATTAACAAAAGGGAGAGGGGGGGCTTCCCTGGTGGTGCAGTGGTTGAGAGTCCGCCTGCCGATGCAGGGGACACGGGTTCGTGCCCCGGTCCAGGAAGATCCCACATGCCGCGGACCGGCTAGGCCCGTGAGCCATGGCCGCTGAGCCTGCGCGTCCGGAGCCTGTGCTCCGCAACGGGAGAGGCCACAACAGTGAGAGGCCCGCATACCACAAAGAAAATAAAACAAAAACAAAAGGGAGAGGGAAGAGGGGTATGGGATCAACAGATACAAATTAACAGATACAAATTAGGGGTATGGGATTAATAGATACAAACTACCATATATAAAGTAGGTAAGCAACAGTGAAATACTGTATAGCACAGGGAATTACACCCATTATCTGGTAATACGGGGTGTAATCTGAAAAACTACTGAATCACTATGCTGTACACCTGAAACTAACACAATATTGTAAATTAGCCATACTCCAATAAAAAAAAGAACAAAATGCTATAAAAAGGAACTTTTAAAGATAAAAAAGAGCTCCAACTAACTGGTATTTCAGAGAAAGACGGAATAAAGAACACAGTAAAGAAGGCATTCTGAAAGAAATAATAAAAAATTTTCCAGAACTCTATGGCATGTTCTTCCAGACTGAAGTGCCCACCAAGTGCCCACCACAATTAACGAAAAAAATTTCCATATCAAGGCATATCATCCTAACATTTCAGAATACAAGAAATAAAGAAACTTTAAAAAATGTTTCCAGAGATAAAACAAAACCCAAAACAGGGCACTTGCAAAGGATCAGTAATAAGAATGGCATTAGAAAGTTCAAAAGCCATACAAAACTACACAACAAGGTACTATATTTACACCTTAGAGGGGAACTGATTTGTAACTAAGAATTTTCTATCCAACCGAATTATTAATCACGTGAGAGGGCAGAATAAAGAGTTTCAGCTATCTGAGGCCTCAAAAACTTTACTTCCCACGCACCACTTCTGGGGAAGCTATTGGAGGATGTGTTCCACCAAAACAAAGGAGAGATAGGGATCAGGAAGCGGGCTCCAACTCCAGAGAGAGGTGAAGGAAATCCCCAGGAAAATGCTGGAGCGAGGTCCAGGATAAGGTCTCTGCATCAGGTATGGGGGCAGCCAGTCCAGATGCGAGCAGGGCTGAGGCGCCAGGAGACAATCAAGGTGATGGAACAGCTAAGACATTTGGATGCAGTGAGAGAAGACTTAGATACCTGGCAGAAACCTTAGGGTTTAATTAGCAATAAGGATGTGGAAAACTGCTCCCTCCTTAAAACAAACAACAAAGACCAAAACTCTAACAAATAAAAGACAAGTGTTGTTAACTCTAGGGACAAAAAGTTGAAAGGAAAAGAAATATAATCATGGTGTAAATATAGGCTTAGCTGTGAAAAGTGTTTATAGGGTCATGATGACGTAAAACACACTATGGACACTGATCCAAACCAATGACATTGTAACTATACTGGGAGGACAGTGGGACAGGAAAGGTGGCAGATGGAGGGGCACAATTGGTGAAAAAGAGCTAAATCAGTACCTTATGTCCCAAACTGAAGAAAGATCAACAAATAGAGATCTCATCATATTATTTCAAGATATGGAGATAAACACCAAAATAACAGCTAAAAGAACTGAAAGAATTTGTTCTGGGGAGAGAGAAATAAGAGGGAGGAGGTGGGGGCTCTTTTTTAGTAAGTATTTGTAAAACTATTTGATCCTTGATAAAAATACAAAACAGATCGACCAACTTATTCAGCAAGTTGCAGAACAATATATGTACAAGATGATCCTGTTTTTGAAAAATATAAGTTAAAAAGGAAGTAAGTATAGACAGATATGCTGGTATTAGCATCAGTAAGAAAATGTGTCAGTGTAAAGTTAGGAAGGAAACACACCCAAATGCCATCACTGGCCTCCTCCAGGTGACAGTGGTGGGCTGGGGACTTCCACTCAATTTTTTGAATTGTACAAGGTAAAAATTGGTGGGATTACAGGTGTTTTATTTTTCAAGTAATTAAATTTTATGTTTAGAACGAAACCATCTTAGTAAGCAAAACCGAATGTGTGTATTTATGCCTATGGTATAGTATACAGAAAAAAGGACAGGAAAAGTTCACAGAAAACCGTTAACAGGCTTAAAGGGATAACTGCGGTTCATCACCTCTTGGGACCTGGAGGGGTGGTGGGTGTGCAAACAGGTGCCTTATCTACCTTTCCCACAATGACTACGCGGTACTTTCACAGCAGACACAAAGTCTGGCAGACCCACAAATGTGTGAACAGGAGGGCATAAGACAAGGGGAGGGAGACCCAGTGGGGAGGTAAATGGGATGGAAAGGTGGTTGGCGGAATCATGCTGGGCAAACCAAAACTTTCTTGGACCTTCTGGTCCGCAGGCATGGGCCTAAACCGCAGGGACGGAACATCACCTAACACAGGCAAGTGCATGCTGTAGCTCTTACAAGACCCCCTAAAACGGGAGTATATTGCTGCCCCATGTATGTCTGGGCCCAAGAGGGGAGATACAAGCAAGACAAACTGTTTCCTTTTACAAAATTAATAAGGCTTAACATAATGAAGCCTAATAATCTGCGAACTTATTCTCAGTTAAGACTTTAATACAAAATGTATTTAAGAGAAATTAAGAGTGCCTTAATTTATATAAAGGTCTGTGAATATTTTTGAAGAGAAATACAATGTTATGCTGGGAAATCTTTATTTTTAATTAAAAAGACTAGTGTCACTATTTTTAAAGCAAGTTCGTCAACAGTATTTATATAATTTAAACTGAACACTTGGCGGCAGCAAAGGCTGTATTTTAAATGACTGAAGACTGGTCAGGAATCTTTGTGCCAGGCGCCCAACAGGCACTGGGAGGGCCAGGACTGGCCTCAGGCTGCAGACCTCACTCAGGCCTCAGGCCTCATGCTCACAAGGGGCAAGAGTTTGGCCCTCTCTGGATTGGTGGGCTCTGCTACTGTGTTAGGCCTCTGTTCAGTGGCTGTGATGGAAACAGCCTTTCCTAGCACCCAACAGATCCAAAAGAATTACTACTACTACACCATAAAAAATCTCTCTATTCTTTTTTGTATGAAAAGCCTTCATTGTTTTTGTCTCACTATCTTCTTCCCCCCACAGATTTCAGTTCAAAGAAAATACAACTTCTTGCTGTTGAAACATAATATTGAAAGACAGTCTGTCAACAAAATTAGTATAGTAATAATTTAAGGAATGCTAAGAATGCTTTCAATAAAACTATCTCTACCTCTAGTCTCACTCAACATTACAGTTGCTAAAAACAAACAAACAAACAAAAAACCAAACAAAAAAAACACAACTCTATCATAATCTGCTCACACGTGGTACAATGTAGTGAAGAAAATAACAAAAACTCATAAAACCAGCTTAGAGAATATCTCTCTGGTTTTTAAATATGTACCCCCTGACAGGCAAAACCATCATTCAAATTCCAGCCTTGGCCTAGTCAAAAGGTCTGCCTGGAACCTTTCCGAAAGCTCCCACCAGTATGGCTGGGAGGCTGGAGTGGTAGAATTTTACGATGTAAGCAATGAACACTTGGGCCATAATTCACATAAGACTTCTCAAGCAACTGTATCATATACTACTTGGCCTCTAACTTTCCCCCACCCCAAATCCAAATTCCTTGCTCACTAAAAATGGGATTTCAAATACGGAAAAACTATTAACACCAGGTAAATCTGGGTAAAGAGTAAAGTTCTTTGTCCTATTCTTGCAATTTTTCTCTAAGTTTTAAGTTACTTTCAAATAAAAACTTAAAAAAAAAAAGAAGTATTTTTCTGCAGTACTAGTCTGAACAGCTGGCTCATGCCTGCATCCAGGGTGGCTCACATGGGCCCAGGCAAACCAGGCATTCCACTAATGTCTTCTAATCTCAGCTATATTTGGAAGAGTAACATGATCCCATAGTTTATTTGGATTTTCGACATTGACAAATTTTTAAAAAATATTATGTTCTTTTGTAACTGGAGATTATGACAAAGAAATGATTGTGATTAAAAAACAAAACAAAACAAGATGGTATCACTACTTACTCTATGAATTATACCAGCTGAATGTAGATGTTTAATACCACAGAGCATCTGGTAAAGAAGGTAGGACATTCTTTCATGGTCCAACTCCATATGAATAACCTGACATAAGTTAGCATCCATTAATTCCATAACCAAATACCTGAGGAAATAAATGATCAGCCATGTACACATGAAAATTATCCAAAATTCCTTTATGGTTATTAAACTAGAATTTTTATGAAATAGTAATAACTTACCACCTAGTCACTGCACTGGCTAAAGTAAAAAGATAACTTGTTTTCCCTAAACATTTATAAGGTATCTTGAAAAGAAGCAAATGTATAATGAAAGTTTGTAAAAGTTTTCAAAAAATAAAAATAAAAACAACTAACAACAAAATGCCTTTCAAGTTAAACACAAAACAATTTTTATATCATAGTAAATAGAATCTCAAACATTCAAATTCTCCTATATTTAAACATTTTTGCTATTGGATCATTCTTACCAATATAGAAACCATGCTGTTATTGCTCTCATCTTAAGAAAACTTTGACCTTACTTCCCCCACCAGCTACCATCCTATATTTTTGCTCCTTATGCAAGCAAAACTCCTCAAAGAGGTGTCTATACTTATCATCTCCAATTTTTTCTCCCATTTTTCCTTAATCCCACTTTAATCAGGGTTTTGCCCCCACCACTTTGCTGAAACTGTCCTCAAGGCTCCATGTCGGCCTTCCGTGTTGCTAAATCCAGTGGCCAGTCCTACAATCCTGGCTGACTGTGCCCTTTTCCTATCCCCATTTTCTTACTGTTGAAGTGCCAGCACTCGGTCCTTGGTCTTCTTTTCTCTAACTGTACTTACAATCTTGGTGATCTCTGGTCTCTGGTCTCAAGACTTTAAATACCATCTATAGACCGACAACTATCAAATTAATACCTTCAACCCAGACACCCCTGCTGAA